CTTGTAAATATCTTCGATAATAACTGCTGCCAGACTATTGAGTCCAGATGAAATGGTTGAAAGTGAACCCGAGAAAACGCAAGCAAGAAACAAGCCCGGTATACCCTTCTTGTTGCCCAATGCATCCATAATGAAGTATGGAAAGATTTGATCAACATTTTGGATACGACCGGCCGTATATGGATCACAATCGGCGTAGTACGCATAAAGAATAATACCCATTAAACAGGAGAGAAGAATGAGACAAGCAACGCCAACTATATTAATGAAAAGAGCTGCTTGTGCCCCTCGTGTCGATCGAACGCACATATATCGTTGTACTTGCATTTGATTGAAACCATAAGTCAACAATGCATTAAATGAGTTACCAATCAAAATTGACCAAATTGTGTGACGCGTTCGAGGATCGAAACTCACACTAAATCAATAATAACAGGCAGAATGTCTGTCGATATAAAATGAGTAGCGATGAACATACTTATCGAATTCAATACGATCACCTTGAGAAGCAATCGAAAATGCTCGCTTGAAACCACCAACGAGAATCAAACCTAGCAGAAAAGATTCAAACAAATGGCTTTCGTTTAGTTTCAAAGTACATTTTACGGATTTAAGTAGTCTTCAATTCCATCGATATATGCCCATGAAGAAAAATTAAAAACAAAGGAGTGGATTGACGAATAGCGAAACTATTTATCATTTGGACAGAAAATGTAGAGCTCAATTGGTTTCATTCATTGATAGATCTCACAAAGACTTTCTTAACATTTTTTTTCTATCTGGCTAAAATCGTAATAGACTTGAAATTTTCAGATCCATGAACCTACCTTGAATAATGACAACGAGAACACCAACATACATCACCAATGCTTGCAAAACATCAGTCCAAATAATTGCTTTCATGCCACCCTACACATACTAATATTTATTAGATTCTTTTGTCCTGAATACGAGCAGGTCTATTTGCATACCACTGAGGAGTAGAAAGTACAAACGACACCAATAGAGACGACTGAAAGCCATTTGTTCAATCCCGTAGCTACAATTCAATTTCGAAAATAAGTAGCATATACTTTCATTTGCATACTTTGACTAAGTGCTAGTGACGGTGCATAGAGTACCAAAGCCATATATATAAACTATACACATGATAATATGAAGCGTGTTTGCACAAGAGAATCTTACTCTACCATGTATACTGAGAAGGTGACAGAAGCACATGTACGTACTGATTGATCGAAACGTTTCTCTAAATACTAACAGACACTTAATTTCTCTACTCCATATTACATCTAGAAATATCACACCTCATAAATACTGGTAAAATTCATTTCACGAAATTTTGGCATGAAGATGAGGGCCGTTACCATCGATGCAATGCTCCATGCAGCAGCTACAAATGGAAACAGGCGGTGATAATGAAGAACATGATCATCATTTTAGTTTTCTCACCTTGATAACAAAACATTGTTCCAGACATATATACTTCGCTCGGAGTACCCAATAGAGTAATGGCAGAGAGAAAAGAAACAATGATACTCAGCGCTGTAGGAAACACACTCATTCCACCATCAGCTAAAATGAAAGTGAATGATGATTATCTTATAATCGTTCTATATACCTAAAAAATATTCTTTGGTTGAGGTCTTCTTAGATTTGATGAAGCCAAAAATACCACCGATGACGGCCGATAACAGCAACAATATCACCAAAAGAACATAATCAATGGCACTCAACGTCGGCAATACCATTATGTCACAAGACAGCAATGACTCAATTAAAATACAAAACAATCTTCCTTCACTAGAGATAAACTTAACATGCTAATCTTGCATGACATTTCAAGGGTACACATATAGTTATATGATGTGTGTGTGTGCCTTTTCTATGTGCTTGATAATATGATAATGAAAAATATCAATTGATAACAAGCAGAGACAATCGTATCACAGAAGACCCGAAAAAATATTGGTTTCATGTTTTTAATGTTTTGATATGAATTGCTTGATTCGATAGAATTACTGTGAGAAGTTGGATAAACGAAATTTCAAAAGTCAAATCTTGAAAGATATTCTCTCATTCTAGTACCACTTAACTGGTTTTATGTAGACATTCCGACCAATGAAGAATGTTTCTTTCATTTTTCGTCAGTCAGCTCTTGGTTTTTGTGTTCACAAGTAGTGTTTTCTTTCCAATTTCTCCGTGATCTATTATTAATAGTTGACAATAGACAATCGCCATATGACAGCAAGAAAAATAATGATTATTGCTGACTCGTTCGAAGCTCTTCTTACAGAAAGATATTAGATTACTTCAACGACTTTTCTCTTCATTCAAACAGACAAAAGTATTAAGAAATGCTTGAAAATGCTTAAAACATTTCGATCATTTTCAAATGCTAATCGCAGTTCCCGATTGTTATCCAAAGACGGTCAGAAAGATGCGATGTGAAAACAAACATTTTTGCACAAGCTACAACTTTTGATAGCTTATGCGTTAGATATCTTTTGTGAATAGTTTTGACTGACAATCGGTAAACCCGATTAGCATTGTGACATATCCAGATTTTTCACGCAATTGCACATTCCATTATTGTTTCACTAGTTTCACACCTTTTCTCATTTGCTTTCTCTATGATTTTTTTTCTACCGTCTAAGCCATTCATATAATATCAATAATTAATGCACAGATAAACAGATCTATCTCTTTACCCATCAGCTTACTTACAAACATATGTAGCAATCTGTCTATCTATGCAACTAATTACTCGCTAATTATCTGTCTGCTTACTTAACTACGTATGTATCTATCTACCTAATTATCTATCTACTCACATAACCACCTATTAACCTACTCAAGCAGACAATGTACTGATCCTCTGTACAGCTGGTTTTTGTCCGGTTCGAATCACATAGGATTGTATGAAAATTGAAAATGAATTACGTTTATCACATAATAAGATAAGAGAAACAAGAGCATTAAGTTTTATGATGTCTTTTTTATAGATTTTTCATTCTAGCTGAGAAAAAGTCGAATTTAAGTGCGAGAAACCAAGAGAGAAAGACAAATAGATTTCATTGCAAGTTCGAAAATGTTGCCTTTGTTATCTTTTCTTTTTCTTCTCGCTTTTACATTCGATAATCATGATTATGAGTATAAGAGAAAACTGGATTAAGCACGTAGATTATTTTACATAGACAAGAAAAATTCGATGTATCTGAGTCTAAAAAAAAGCTGAACTCGAGAAAGATTTGATGTAATAAGATGGAATGAATTGTACATCTCGCATGTGTTGTTGTTATTATCAAAAACTCGATAGACAAATACGAAGCGTGAAACGAGATGCCTCTTCACTTTAACTATGTCCTTTATTTAATTAGTTATTTGTCACACTACACAATGCTGCGAGAATAAATTATGTACCCAAAGTAAAGAAGTATCTGAGACGTCAACTGATTGCTTAAATAACAGCCATCATAATCTATGCATGTTTTTCGTTCATAAATATGTATTTTCCAGATGTACGCAGCCATAGAGAGCTATACGTTTAAAAGCTATAAAACTTTTATTTTTTCTACATGTGCGTGTGTATTTGAAAAAGTTATACCTATGTAGAACATAGATGAAGCCTAGAAATTTCGGAATGAAGTGAGAATAAAAAATTTTCATTTCTAAACACATTGAAAAATCCTTGTTTGTAGTCGTTCAAATACTGAAGCCTTTCAGTAAAACTGAGGACGAAAATACTACTTCCAAAAACGTATACAAACAGCTCGCTTTCCAAATATAAATATGAGTATTAATTAGTTCTTCAGTCATGATGATCAAATGTTAAGCTGAATACGTATCAAATTCCGAATGTTTGTGTGTTTTTACACGTATGAGATCAACTAAACGTAAAAATACTCATAACACAAACCTTTTACACGCACACACGACAAAGAATTATGGAAATGAGAGTCGTGTACATGCACACATTTCAAATGTCTGTCAATCTTTTAGCATTTGCACGAACACTTTTTCCACGCGTTTTCCAAAATTCTTGTCTGCTTGGGTACCTATCTATCTGTTGGCAATGTGTCTAAAAAGTTAACTACCTACTTAACTTATTCTTCATCCATACGTCTATATAACTAATGTCTATTTCGAATTTAAGTGAACATCGAGTTTTTTTTAATAGAGAATAAAAAGCGTTTGAGTTTTCCGCACTACCTATAGCTGACATTGCTCTGTCTTTTTACACAACCAACGCAGAAGATGCTAAGTGAAAAAAAAACCTAGGCAACTTATGAATTTAACACATGAATTCAAATATCATGCAAATGGAAAGATAAAATGAAAAGGTTATGGCAATATCTTCAAGGCGAGAAAGGCTCACTTTAATCGTTTAAAAAGACAGGTGAAAGAGCAGAGAAAGAGAAAGACAGAATATTTAATTTCGCGCACAAAAAATACTGCCTTTGAAATGTCTTCTCCTTCTTCTCGATTCCACAGCCAACCCATGTAAAAATTTTTGACAATTTAATGAAGTTTTGTGACGTGAAAATTCGTTAAAAATTTAACGATTTAACGATTAAAAAGGTTACAATTTCGATCATAAAAACGCGTTAAATATGCAAAAAATTAACGCGTTTTCACGCGTGAAAATATTCTAACGCGTGTTTCAGCGTTAATAATAACATTTTTTAACGCGTTTTCACGGTCAAAATTGTAACATCTTTTTTCGTGAAATCGTTAAATTTTTAACGAACTATCACGCGTTAATTTTTCGAATAACGCGTGAAAATGTGTTAAATTCGTTAGCGCATATATACAGTAGTATTGAGAATATTCTAGACTGTTATAAATCAAATGCATGATCAGTAGTTTTCAGTCATCAATATTCCCTAAGTTTTACTTTTTTGACCAGAAAAATTTATATAAGCAACTGCACTTGAATATTGTACGCAGTCAACTACATACAAGACCGCAATGACAATTAAAAGACTACTTTGTTAATCATTTTAAGATTCACTTTCGAATATTACATCTTTTTTTGTTTAGTGAAAGCTCAAAAAATAATAAGTTATTACGTTCTACTGTAAATTAAAAAGGAATTCGATGACCCTTAAGTTTTTGAGCTTTCACTAAACAAAAAAATACGTAATATTCGAAAGTGAATCTTAAGATGATTAACAAAGTAGTATTTTAATTATCATTGCGGTCTTGTATATAGTTGACTGCGTACAATATTCAAGTGCGTAGTTGCTGATATAAATTTTTCTGGTCAAATAAGTAAAACTTAGGGAATATTGATGACTGAAAACTACTGATCATGCATGTGATTTATAACAGTCTAGAATATTCTCAATACTACTGTATATATGCGCTAACGACCTTAGTAGAGGTGGAAAAATCAGAAGTTTGAAAATGAAAATTAATTGTTTAGAAGACATTTTGAATCACGTTGACTCATATTAGGATTTGCCCTCAAAAATGTAACGTAAATAAAATTAAAAAGATTTACAATATGCTTGCACCTTCAGCGCTACTGATCACTTCTCTATATCCTTAAATTTATATCTCTATATAGTTAGCTAGATTCCGCTCAGAGAAAATTCATCGGGTTAAAACACCTAGCTACAGATTAGAATGACTAGTCTAGTGAAAAATGTCAGATTATATCAGATTATAATCTGATATTTTTCACTGAGTGCCCAGTCCATGAACAGTAGGAATCTACGAAAAAAATAAGTTGAATTTTTTAGATTTACTCAACTAATGTCAAAAGCAAGGTTATAATAGATAAAAGTATCGAAAATCAGAGGGTCACAAAACAATAGTAGGAGATAATAAGTATACCGAAGAACACTGCTGTCTTTCAATCTCTCTCTTATGACGATCTATTTTCAACATTTTTTTATTCTATATTCTCATGTTTACTACTTTAAGAATCTTCTCTAATTTTATCGTTGGATATCTTCACTCTTGGGTAAAAGTTGACTCCATGTAACCTGCTTAAAAAAACCTACTCGACCTCATTTGCCCAACTCTAACATTTAGCTTTCTACAATGTATTTATTTGATGCAAGGAGTATGTTATTGAGAAAATTATGCTTACCTTATTTATCGAACAGGATATGTCGTCAATAAGTGTAGTGTATATAAAAAGATCATTATAAGAAGCGCAACTCAAGTATAATTGATTAGTGGCCTGTTGAGTCTAAGACCAAGTGTGCTACGACATGTACGCCGTTTTAATCAGATAATGTTTTGACAGAATAGTTGCGAATTTTTACTGCTTATAAATATGAATTTATTCTACGATTAACTAGACATGTCATGAAAAAAGTACAAGACACTTTTCTAGAGGGCGCCACATATTTATCGAATCTCGTCCTTGATTCAAAGACAGTTACGCTAAGTTCCAAATAAATCTCATATTAATAAACAAAGAAAATTATAAAATATTCTATCAAAGCATTATCTATTAAAAATGGTGTGTGCGTTAATGGGCATTTTGTTTTAGACTGATCAAACGATGAATCGCATATTGTTGTACAGTAATACCATCTACTAGGCTCTCTTAGTTTGATAAAAGGATGCATTTTTTTATGTAAGAAAAATAAAAATAAAACCATCGAATTTATCGAGAAAAATAAAATAATAGTACTTACTCAGAAAAAAAAGATATGCTGCCATCTATATCTCTTTACATTCATTCCACATCTAATGAACAAAACGACAAAGCATCTTTCTTCCATTGTACACTTCTTTGTGCTTCGTTAACTATGCACGTTACGTAGGTAAAGTTAGCCCCATATTCGAGTTTTTTGTGTCCAGATTCGTTTTTGCACTTGCGTTGGCTCTCTACTTGGTTGCCCAGGACGAACAATCCGACAGTCGGATCCCGTCGGATTCTATCAGAAAAATAATCGGATTTTATCGGATCCGATGGGAATTCGCCGGAATTTGTCTGAATTCTTGGTATCGGATTCCGACAGGAAGTTGTCGGATATCGGAAAGTGTCGGAAGTGACTAGGATCTTGTCAGAATCCTGAAAATCCAACACCTTCCGACGAATTCCCATCGGATCCGCAGGGATGAGTTCGACCTGGGCGGGTTATACGCAGAATTAAATTCTGCACCGAATGATGCCATTTTCGACTGAGGTCATCGAGCAAAAATCTCATTTATATTCCAAATACTGACTTTTTTGGGAACTTTTTCAAAAGTATTTCGGCTCCGAATTCGCTCTCTCACTTTGGTTAGCTCTATAAATGGTTGGGTTGAGTTCAGAATTCAACTCTGCGTCGAATGATACTAATTTCGACTAGGGTTGTCGGGCAAAACCAGTAAATGACGGTAACAGTATCAGGTCGAAATTTCTGGTCCTTGTTCACCCTCACCTGTTGATTTTGCCCGACAACCTTAGTCGAATTTGGTATCATTCGACGCAGAATTGAATTCTGAACTCAACCAAACCATTTATAGAGCTAACCCAAGTGAGAGAGCGAACCCGGAGGCGAAATACTTTTGGAAAAGTTCCCAAAAAAGTCAGTATTTGGAATATAAATGAGATTTTTGTTCGATGACCCCAGTCGAAAATGGCATCATTCGGCGCAGAATTTAATTCTGCATATAACCCAACCAAGTAGAGAGCCAACTCAAGTCCAAAAACGCATCCAGACACAAAAAACTCGAATATGGGACTAACTTTACTTACGTAAGAAAGTCTAATAATGTGATTTTTTTCCCTTTTCCAGATCTTGAAGGAAGTTCATAATATGTTTTACGATTTATTTTACTTTGTCTGAATAAATTTCAATATCTGCTTCAAAGATCGATACATAGTTAAAGTAGATTTTAGTACAATTCATGAACGATAATTAACAGGTCGATCATAGTAGGTAATTAACAACATTCTAGAAAATTCGTTAAATTATTTCACATGTGAAAATGAATGTAAAATATAACGATTATTAATACATTAAATTTAGTTAAAAATAAAAAAACTCAAGAAAATTCGTTAGATTATTTCACATGTGAAAACGAATGTAGAATATAACGATT